CTTGTGAATTGTTTTTAATTTTTTCTAATACATATGTAATCGTTTTCATTTGAATTAAAACAAGAAACATTTTTAAAGCAAAAAAGAAAAAGATGTAATTATAAGTAGAAAAATTCTAAAAAATAAGCTTAATGAAAGATGAGTAGCCCTAGCAGATATTAAAATACCATACAAAGCTATAATAATTGAAATAGTGTAATACCAACATATGTATATGTAGCTATATTATAAGAACAAGAAATATTGTCACTGGTGCATTCCCTAGGCAGCTTGAAGGAAGTTCAAAGGTGCTTAATACTCCCTCAAGGTTGTTTTTCAGAGCTATGTCAGGAAGAGATACCAGCATCAACCAGGCCTGAACCAGAGCAAGCCCCAGTGCAAGGGCAGCACCTGCTCAAATGACCCAAGGATGCCAGAAAATGCCCTTTTCCTCATCTCAATACTATAATCTCTGTCCTAGGAGGAGCCTAGACCTTATTAGCAGAACATGCAATGCATGTGAAAGCATGTTTTCAGACTGTGCCTGTGCTAGCTAAAACCCACTTCTATATATGATGACAAAACTTCCCTTTTAAATATTCATTCCCCACAGGAAATAAAAGGAACCTGCCTCCCTTTGTTCACAGAGAGTCAAGACTTTGGAAACGATTACATGTAGTCTCCTATTTGCTGCAAACACACTTTACTTTGTGTAACAACTACGTCTGGTGGAAAGTCTCACCAGGAAGCAAACTCATTTTGGTTTGGTAACAATAGCACAAAATACACGTGGGAATTTAGTACACCATAAACATGGTAATGCAATTCTGTAGAGAAAAGATGAAATGCCCAGTAAATGGTGTTGGGACACCTGAGTGGCCATTTGGAAAAAATTAAAATTGCATTTCCTACTTTACATATTATATAAATGTAAATTCCAAGGGGGCTAAAGATTTAAATGCAAAATTTTAAAAAGTAATAATCCATAAAGTATTAGAATAAAGCACAGAATAAGTTTTTAATCTCACAGTGAGGAAGATTTGATTTCTTTACTATCTATGATATAAAACCCAGAAGCTATAAAAGATGGATAAATTCAACCATGGAAAAACAGAATATCTCTGCTTATCAAAAAGAAATAAATGAAACAAAACCATTCCCCCCTAAAAAAGTCGAAAGACTAATGAAAAGCTGGGAGAAAACTAATTGTAATGTATATGATTGACAAGGAGCTATTTTTATCATTTCTAAAGAGTTGACACAAATCACTAAGATAAAGACCAACAATCCAAGCAAAGAATGGTCCAATGTCATCAATAGGTATTTCACAGAAAATAAAATACAAATGGTTCTTAAACACAGGGAAAGATTCTTAAACCCATATTACAGTAAAATAAATACAAATTAAAATGATAAATACCATTTTCCAGATTTTAATTTCATCAAGACCAATACAGTAGGCTGGTAAGGAGAGGGAAAGAGGCACTTTATGCACTGTTAGTGGGAATGTAAAGCAGTACCATTTGACAATGTCTGCTAAAATTAGAAGCACATGTCCTCCGATCCGGCAATAACATTTACAGAAATCTATCTTATAGCTCTTCCTCACCCATGTAGAAATTGACGTACCCATGGCAGTACTTGTTTAAGTAATTAAAGAGGAGGAGCAATCTATATGTCCATCCAAAGGGCCCGACTGAATAATAATGGTATCTCCAAATTAGAAGTCAGTGAAAAGAATGTAGCAACCATTTATTTATATACTAATATACTGCTACTGAATGATCTCCAAGATATATTTTTAAAATAGAAAAGCATGGTACAAAAGAGTATCATTTGATGCCATTTTTGTAAAATAACTAAATAAATAAAGGTGGGAAATATATACATGTAAGTACGTGAGTTTATATATGGGTATATATATTTGTGTGTGGATTACACACACACACACACCACCTCTGGAAGGTGTGCAAGAAACTGGTATCAGTGGCTGTTTCAGGGGATGGGAACTGAGCAGCTCAGTGAATAAGTATGGGAAGAAGACTCACTGCTCGCTGTATATCCTTTGATATCTATATCATATGTATTAAATACCTACTAAAAATGAAATGAGAGGGAAAAAAAACCCATAGTAAAGGTATAAAGATCTAGAGAAACTATGATGCTATAGGGACCGACACAGTGATTCTAAGAGTTAAACTTGACCTGCTTACTGAAAGATAAGATACAGGTCAAGAGCTACGGATCCAGAGCCCACTAACATTTCAAAAGTTACTTTAGAAAATGTGGGGTGTAGTTTCCAGTTTTAGATATGGGACCCTGATAAGGTCTCTTTAGAAGGTAACGTGAGCAAATGCTTAGAGGAGACAAGAAAATAGTAAATTATGAGGACACAGGAAGGGAGTAGGACTGAGCCTCCCAGCACAGGTGCAGCAAGAACAAGGTGAGAGTGGTGTGGAATTTGAGAATCAGGATGGAGTCCAAGGTGGCCAAAATGGAACTGGGGAAGGTGAGAGGGGTAGCAAATGAGGTCCCAGAGCTCAGAAGGGGCTTTAACTCTGCATGAGGTGAGCAGCGACTGGGGAGTGTGGAGCCAAAAAGCAGTATGATCACTTGAATATTCATAGCTTTGCTCCTCTAGTCATCTTGAGGAAAGACAGAGGAGGGCAAGGGAAAAATCAAGGAGATGATTTAAGAGAGTACTGCAATAATCCAGAAGAAAGACAATGATTACCCAGAAAGGATTATGATACTGGAAATGGCAAGAAATGCTGGACTCTGTGTGGATTCACAGGTAGAGCTGCCAGGAGGTTCCCATGGGTAGAAGGGAGATCATGAGAAAAAGAGGAGTTGAGGATATCCGGAGGAACTGTAAGAAGATTGTTTCCATTTCCTGAGATGGGGAGGAGGGAAGGTTAGAAGCCGATTCTGCCATGCCGTCAGCACCCAGGTGGAGCTGTGGGGGAGGCAGGAAGGCATGTAGCTCTGGTGACGGGGCAGAGACATGGGCTGCAGATACAGTTTGCAGAGTTGTCAGCATGTAGCTGGTATTTAAAGCTACAAGACGAGACGAAATCACCAAGGGGGTGAGGTGGACAGAGAAGGAAGAGGTCTAGGACTGAATCTGGCAGCACTTCAGTACTGAGAAGCCAGGAAAAGGTATGAAGAGGAGTGCAAGGGTGACAATGAAACAAACCAGGAGTGAACACTGCACAGAGAAACACGACTCTCACACAAGTGATCACTGGAGGAGCCACAGGGAGATCACTGCTGACACCGCGGAGCGCAACATCGGGAGAGTGATGGGTGAAAAGCCAGAATTAAATGGGCTCAGGAAGGGATGGAGGGAACAATCTGGACACAGTGCTTCAGCAACTCCTTGAGGCATTTTGTTATAAAGGAAAGGAGAAGAATGAACCAAGAGGAAGAGGATGGATGGTCAAGGTGAATTAAAAAAAATTTTTTTGAGGGGTCAGCCCAGTGGCATAGCAGTTAAGTTTGCGCACTCTGCTTCCGCGGCCCAGAGTTCATGGGTTCGGATCCCAGGTGCAGACCCACTCACTGTTTATCAAGCCATGCTGTGGCGGCATCCCACATACAAAATAGAGGAAGACTGGCACAGATGTTAGCTCAGGGACGATCTTCCTCAAGCAAAAAAAAAAAAAAATTTTAACATAGTCAAAAACAATGGCATGATTGTAGGATAACGGAAAATTTTGGAGAGAAGAGAATTAAGGGCACTATGTTCCTGAGTAAGCTACACAGAATGACAGTTGCTTATTACAGCATTATCCATAATATCCTCAAACTGAAGACACCCAACTATCTGCCAACAGAAGAACAGATGAATTAATTGCATAAATTAATACAATGGAATACTATATAGCTATGAAAATGAACAAACTGCTAAATGCAACAAAATTATGAATTTCACAAGCATAATATTAAGTGAAAGTGGTCAGGCAAAAGAGAATGCATATTGTATGACTGCTGTATGATTTTATTTACACAAAGTTCTCAAACATTTGAAGGAGTCCACTGCATCAGAAGTCAGGATGATGGTTACTTGGGGCAGGAGGGATAGGGAGGAAATGGGAGGGGGATGGGGCAGTCAGGTACAGACTGCATTCTATTTCTTGGACTGGACAGAAATTACGCACTCACTTTGTGATTATTCATTGAAATGTATACTTACAATCTGTGTGTGAGCCTGTATGGATGTTAAACTGTTCAATAAAAAATGTATTAAAACATAAAATAAAATAATGCAAGCTACCCTCTGATATCCTCAGCCTGTTAGTGAAGAATTTAAGTAGAGACTGACGATCGCTCGCTATGGATACAATGAAAAGATCTTTCCTCTGGGAGGAAACTAACTTAAAGATCTGTAAGTCAACTTCAAATCTAAGAATTTAACAGATAAATGAAATTTTTCAAAGTTGCCAATAAAATTAATAGTTCGCTCTTAAAACAAGGCTGCTCAAACTTTCCCTCAAAAGAAATAAGATTTTCTTCTTTTTGTGGTAAACATTAATATCCTCTTCAAAAGAAAGCAAACATGATATCCTTAATTTCTGATCCATTAATGACCATTTATACTCCTGAAGATCAAAACCTATTATGTCTTAATTCATGCTTTTTACTCCCCCAAAGTGATTACCAAAGAAATATTAATGTGTATTATCCCATTGTTACATAATACCTTTTACTAAAATTATATTTTTAAGAAAGATAAAAACAAAAATAGTCAGATTTTATAACAACACACCACTTAGGCAGGAATCTTGATATGGTTGTTTCTCCCTCAAACCTCTTCCCGAATTATTAAAAATTTGCTGCCAGAAGAACAAACAAGCCATCAGAGACAGTCCAGTGATTCTGTTACATAAAATCTATGTCAAATCCTGGCTTTCTTCCCCTGGCATTTCTCTATAATAAAGTGACAAAAATGTTCTTGATAAAAATGTCTTTAGAGACAAACTCACAGTTGGTGACTACTGGAATCAGTTCTCTGCACTCACCAGGGAGGGTAGATATGGACGATGTCTTGGGGATGTCCCCTGAGGTAGTGTGCAGTCTCCTTGGTGAAGAGAACCTTCAGGCTAGTCCCAGGGGCCTCACCTTGAGAAGGGCTGTCAGCCTGCAGCTCCACTAACTGCTCACATATGGCAATTTGGATGGAGCATTCCTCATGTAGCTCTAGAATTTTCACAATTAATATATCAGATTTTCTACCTAGAAGGTGAAGAAAAGAACAAAAGCACAAATAAAGTCTAAAGGATATGGTCCAAGGGTGAATAAAGTGTCATGAAAAAAAGAATCACATTCAGATAGCTTTCTTAACCTGGAGAAAATGGTCTGTATGATTTGCAAAGTAAGTACAGACTCTCACATGCTCACTATAACATCGTTTTAAAATCAAAATAGCATGTACGTTGCATTTAAAATATATATATCAAGTAACATAAAAAATAGTCCTCTATCATAAAGAAACAGTCTGGCTCATAAGGAAAACACAGACCCATCATTTTATAGAGCATGTTTTACTGGAAAATTTGAACCCTTTTGATAACTACAACAAAGGGTGTATGTCCATCTGTTGATCTTTCTTATATGCCCCCTCCACCTCATTACCTGCTTTGATTCTTTACTTTGGAATGATGCCATACAACTGTCTGGCTGCAATTGTTCTAACGATCACAAAGGTTAAAAGTTGAGGATTTATATGGAATGGATTTAAACGGGTGAAATTCAATCTAGATTGAAGTACTGGCTTGAATTAAATTAGCCATGTTACATAGCATTTCAACACCACAGTTTTCTCATGTGTAAAATGGGGATCATGCCCCTGCCTCAATTAACATTTTTAAGAATCAAATGAGACAAATGAAGTTGACCATGTGCATAGCCTATAACCAGGAAATCCTAACTATATACCCTGAAACTCTGTCACATGCACCAGGAGACCTAAACAAGAATGCACATCTTGATACTGTTGTAAGAACAGCAAACTGGACCCAGTATAAATCAATAGGAGGATGGGTAAATGGTGGTGTATTCATACAACAGAATACTATACAGAAGTTAATGTGAGGGAACCAGATCTATATCTCTTAGCATGGAGAGACCTTAAAAACGAGAGGATAAATAAGATATGTACAGCATAACACCCATAATGTTATTTTTTTAACACAAAAACCAATAAAATATTGTTATGGATACATATGTAATACAAGTATATAAATATGGACGAGCAAGATTCATAGAAAACTCATGATAACTGCTGTATCTAAAGAGAGAAAAAGAGGAGTGCGACTCAGAAAGGAAACCCAAGGGATTTCAAACTTATCTGCCATATTGTTTCTGTTATAAAAATATGTGAATTTAAAAAGACAAAAAGATTAAAATGTGTTATTAATCCTAGGTGGGGAGTACACTTACATTTTCCATTACTCTGTTTTTTAATTAAAATAAATGAACTAAATGAGATAACACAAGCTAAGTGTCTAGCATTATGCCCTGCTAATAATATACACTAATATGAGCTTATCACTTTAGCCAACTGGTTAATAGTGAATAATAAAAATTTAAATTTAAATAGTGCCAAGTTTTTAGTTATATAGTTTAATTTCATTTCCATTTTTTTCTCCCTTTCACTTTTTCTTCAGTCATTTTCCACTTGACTCTAAATTTTCCACATCTTCCTTTCTCTAAGGGCCAAAAGCATTCTCACATATTAAGCAAGGCCACAACACCTCCCTAGAGCACTATCTTAACTACTATTTCCTAAGGTATGTATCTATCTTGCTACTATTTAAGGTAAAGAAGGAAACGGAATGGGAGAAGGATATGAGCAAGCACAATGTTAAGCTGGTACTGGTCACTGTGGACAAGGGAAGTTGGGGAGCAAAAACGAGTATTAAAGAAACACACTGACTAGGAAGTGATCCTTGAGTCTGCTCTGTACAACAGGTATTTCTTTAATAAAAAGGAGCTCATCCTCAATTGATGAACAGGAAAGAAAGTTAGGATAATGTGAAGGTCACTTGGTGCACACATTGTTTTTCCTGGGAAGGCAGCCAGAGCAGTGGGTGGAAAATTAGGGTCTTCAGCAGCAAAGGGAAAAGCCCTGCGTATAGAGGCTGCACTAACCACAGGAACATTTTTAGACATATTTTAAGAATTTTTAAAACTTGTACCTGTACTCAGAGTCATCCCCAATACTGCACAGCCATCTCCCTTGTCAACCACTGACAGAGCTGCTGTCCAGAGTTCCAGGGCCACCTGTGCTCTCTAGTACCTGCTATCCTACTTGACTTCAAGTGGGCCAGCTGAGCACACACTCTCGGTTCTGTGTGCTTACAATAATTGCTGTGGCAGCCTCCAGCCATGCTCAGCTGCCTGCCCAAGCAGCACAAGTTCTCTCTTCAGGTCTTGTGCAGCTCTGATTAAAAAGTGATATAGATTTTCAGCGGTCTGTCTCAACCTTACAGTCCTCATAGACACTGATGGATTTTATAAAAAGCAAGATATTGCAGAAACACATAAATAGTATTATAGCAGAAAAACCTACATATCTAAGATGAATCACACTACAACTGACTACAGTTTCTTTGAAGATTTTAATGATAAATCCTGACAATATTCCCATAACTGTGAATTCTGCTCAAGATCTATAGCACCAGATATCTAGTAGAATAAACATACTTTATGATACTATCACCATAGCCCTGCAACACTGTAGTATGCTTAGTGACTAAATATGTTTGGGAGGGAATGACAAGTGGCGCCATCCTGACAGCACTACAGGGCTGGGAACAGCACAGTGTGCTCCTTGAAGCACTCTAAGTCTCTCCTGCAGAACATCCTCCGACAACAGCCTTAGGGAGAAACCAGTGGCCTGACTTCCCTGAAGAAAATAAGGCAATGCAATTTCCCCTTTGTCTGAGGGAGAAAAAAGCATGGGGTAACCTGAGATAAATTACGTATTTGAGGCAAGCTTTCAATCAGAACACAAGAGACACCAGTTTTTACAAATGAAGATTTTTTTGCAGTTAGATGCATGGAACATAAACGGCCATTTCTGTGCCACTGGGCCAACATTTTCCACAAATGCTGTAAGACTCAGCCAAAATATCACCTCATCCAGGAAGTGTTCCTGAATCCCAGCCAGAAGCACCTATTCCTTCCCTTTGAAATCTTCAAATACCTTATACTTATCTTTCTTATAACAGTGTCCTCATTTTTCTTAAGATTTTATTTTTTCCTTTTTCTCCCCAAAGCCCCCGAGTACATAGTTGTGTATTCTTCGTTGTGGGTCCCTCTAGTTGTGGCATGTGGGATGCTGCCTCAGCGTGGTTTAGATGAGCAGTGCCATGTCCGCGCCCAGGATTCGAACCAACGAAACACTGGGCCGCCTGCAGCAGAGCACGCGAACTTAACCACTCGGCCACGGGGCCAGCCCCAGTGTCCTCATTTTTAAATGGAGATAGTTTTACCTATCCTCAAAACACTGCAAACATCAGGAAAGACAGAAAGCCTACAGTACAGGGCCTGGTCCATCACACATGCAATAATGGCAGCTGTTGCCTTCATGGTCACTCTTGTTATTACTAACTTTTCAAGGCATTTTCGAATCTATTATCATACTTGATTCACAATAACCCTATGAAAAAGGGAAGGAAGATACTACTCGCCCTTTTTGACCGATAAGAAAACTGAAATAGCTGCTTACATGATTTTTTTAATGTCTGAGATGATTACTGGCAGGTCTAATCCTAGAAACTGAGTATCCTTATAAGTCAAAGACCAAAATGTCTCTTGGGTAAATGCCAGTTAAAGACAGGAAATTGTGAGTGAGGTTTTTACTCCTACTTCATTATGCTAAAATATAGGAATTGTTTAAAATGTAAAGAAAGCACATCGGGTTGAGAAATGGAGTCCAGTGAGGCTCTTCCTGTGTTTGGACATGGTCAGGATTTTCAGCACTGAAAAAGAAGAAAATAAGTTGTCATAGTACTAAAGAGTGAAGAGAACGTGCTACAAAGATCAAATGGAGAACACACATTTTAATATATAACATAAAAGATTTTAAATAACTAAGAAACAGAATAGAAAGATTTGTACAGAAAATATACCACAAGAACTAGCAATTTCTATGCATACATATATCTAGCAGATGAAATGTAAAATTTAAAATGTAAAATACTTAACTCAAAGGTTAAGATTTGCTGAATGAATGCATGAATGAGTGATTTATTTTATCAGGTAACTGCTGTTTAAAAAGTCTATGGTTTTATTTATTTATTTTTTTTTTGAGGAAGATTAGCCCTGAGCTAACGGCTGCCAATCTTCCTCTTTTTGCTGAGGAAGACTGGCCCTGAGCTAACATCCATGCCCATCTTCCTCTACTTTATATGTGGGAGGCCTACCACAGCATGGCGTGCAAAGCGGTGCCATGTCCGCACCCAGCGAACCAGTCGGGATCCGAACCAGCGAACCCCGGGCCACCAAGAAGCAGAATGTGCGAACTTAACCGCTGCACCACCGGGCCAGCCCTAAAAAAGTCTATGGCCACAAAAGAATTGAGTAAATGATACAAAAAGAACATATATTTGTGACTACTGGGTTAAATGACTTATTTGAAATATAGGCAGCAGGGGTCCATTTATATGCATGTCAACTCAAATCCTCCAAGTGGGTTATGTTGATGAATTAATATATACTACGAGGATAACTTTCATGAATACCTACACAAGAAATACAAGAAATTAATAAAAACTATATAAGAAAATACCATGTGGAGCAAGTTAGTAAGTAGTGAGAGAGTGAAATCATTCTCCTAAGAAGGACATAAACATCTGTAAGGTTTTCTAGGAGAAATACTTTTCATAATATAAATATTACACTAACTTTAAGTCGCTCCCCTTAATTATCAAAACATTGACCATATAGTAATTTGGGATTTCCCCCCCATATTAATACTTTGTCTCTGTCTTCACAGATATCCCAACAGGCTAGTCCATACAGTGTCTTGCTTTAAAATGTATGTCCTACTATTCTCTGAATCTGGTACTTTTTCTCTCCTTCAGGCCAAATCATCAACAAGTGCCCAACATTCCTTTGTTCCTCACCCATCACATACGTGCACACAGAGACAGAGACTGAGGGGTGGGCGGTGGTGGCGAGACAGCACAGGAATGGTCAGGAATGGACATCGGGATTTTCAAGTTCAC